AAAAAAAAAAAAAGAAAAGAAAAGTGCCAGGATTTCGCTTCGTAGTTGAACGATAGAATTTTATTACAATTGTATTACAATTATCATACCTTAACCAGGAACATATCAAACAAGAGTTAGCGAAACAAGAGAAGAATGTTGAATTTCTAACAGGATTGTGCTCTCGGGGAATTCCGTTTGCGCGATTTCTTTATACAAATTATAGTAATTAATGAAGAAACCGTGGAAAGATGTTAACTCGTGCATGAAGAGATGCTCGTAAGAAACCGGAAAAACAATATGGAAAGGGGCAAGAATTTCTCTCCGGCCAGCAGTTGTATTACTATTTTTATAACAATAATAGCCATCGCTGCCCTAGTGACAGTAGTTCGTAGTTCTCGCGATTAGATAACGTTCCTCCTCGTAACTTTCCTCGTTGCGACTATTACGCCAGGTTCTTTTGTACCGGTGTTCTCTTCTCCCGTTGTGTAATTCATTGTATCTCTGTAAAATGGAAAGAAGAAGCACGTTATTGCCGTTATTTATATTCTATTTCCGGACACGTTACGAGCTCGCGCCGGGTCGCAAAAGCAATAATAGTCGTGTAAATGAATATTAACGTTATAGTTGTAAAAGTCTACACTTCCATGTGACATTGTAAACTCTCTCGCGATGACATGTTTCTTGAAACATACTCGAATATTTATATTTTATTTATATTTATATTTTTCCTTTGAAGACCAACTAGTGAAAAGAAAGAAAAAAAAAAGAAGAAGAAGAAACTTGCTAAAGTAATAAACGAATGAAATTGTTGTATTTTTCGAGTACGTTTTAAAGAATTTCATCGCAGAGCAAAACGATCTGACCGATTGATTGGTCGTTTCGTTAAACGAACAAGTTGTTAGATGATAAATTCGTTTATTCGATAAATTCGGACATGCTTGAGGAGGGAAGTAAAACGCGTTGCGATTAATTATTCCTAGCCGCGATTTTACGGTTGGTGTGCCCCAGCCGAATGAGAAAGCCGAAAGGAGAAGGAAAGATATCGCTGATCCGTTTCTTCGCTTTTCTGAACTCGTAACGTCGCTCATTTTTTCTTTTCTTTTTTCCAAATTTTCATTTGATCTTCTCGCTGTTTCTTGTATGTACTCGCATGGTCACGAGAGGCTCAACAGCGTCGAGCAAAATCTTACGACAAGAATCGTGAAAGTAAACTACATTTTCACTCGACACCCCTTTTTTCGAAGCGTTTGAAGTAGAAGACACTGTCTCGTTTTTCAATTCCAATTTGAAATAACAAATGTCTCGTGTTCGTTTTCTTATTGCTGTCTCTTCTTTTAATAAGAAGAGATCTCCTCCAACTATTGCTGTAATATTACTATTAATTTTCGTAATACGTTACATTTTATCTTTCGCGTATTTGCGAATTAACATATTAAGGATATAAATCGAATTTGTTAAGTTAGTAAATTTGCAGTTCCGAGGACGAATACCATTGTATAAATTCGCTGGAAACGAAACGTTAGATAACGTGGGATTAGTCGACTGTGAAATTGGCGAATCGTGAAGGAATCTCCCGGTTGATATCGGGGATAATATATATATATATATATATATATATATATATATATATATTAAATTACGTCGAC